TGAATTGATATGGAAATTTCGCAAAGCGGTCATTTCGTGGTTAATTGAAATTTTTCTGGTGTGGAAAAACAATTTCGATTGCCATGATATTACTTATTTATAGAAAGTATAAGCTTAAAATAAGAAAATACAATTGCACATGTTTGTTTACTGTTGCAGCTTTTTATTGCGTTCTACCTGAGTGTGAAATAAGTACAAAAGCAACGCAAAAATATGAATAAAAAGACAATTCAGAGGTATGTATGTATGTACATTATGGTGGTCCAAAAACAGTAAAGTAGGAATTGTAATGCTCTCACCCCCTAGGATTGTTCTAAATCGAAAAAAGTATAGCCCTATTTTTTTATTTTGAGATCAAAAAATATTTAGAGCTCGCCCAAAGCGCTCAAAGTTTTCTATACATGTATTTTTATATGGAAAAAAACAACTTTTCGTAGAAATGGTATAGAATTCTTGAAAGTCAATATTTTTTGATCGGAAAACTCTGGTTCTCTTCAGGAGACTTTCAAAAATAATATCCAATTGTTTATTTAACCATTTTTTAATACTAACGATTTTTATTGGCGCCCCTAATGCATTTTTCGGGGTTTTTGTGGATTTTTGGCGGACCTATAAATTATAGTGGCGATGAAAAAATGATTAAATAAACAATTGGGTATTATTTTTGGGAAACTCCTTCAGATCAAAATAGTTCCGATCGAAAAATATTGATTTTTAAGAATTCTATACCATTTTTTCCCATATAAAATACATGGAAAACTTTGGGCACTTTGAGCGACCTTTAAATATTTTTTGATTTCAAAATAAAAAAATAGGGATATATTTATTTTGGTATAGAACAATCCCAGGGGGTGCGATCATAAAGATTCCGACTTTACTTTTTCACATGCACTTTTGGACCACCCTAATGTAGATAGTATGTTTACGTGCATGGTAGGTCATTGTTGAGTCTACGAACTAGAACTCTTGTTAATCGACTAGTCGTGATAAGCACGTGAACTTTGGGATAGTTTTGGCCAGCGAAAACTTTTATTTTGTCTTTCCCCTACGAAATTCGCTAACATTTTTTACAGGATATTTTCTCTCCACGCAATATTTACTCTAAATCGTAGATGGGCAAAACGTTGCTCTGAAGCAACTTCGGCCTCGGCAAACTCATACATATTTATGTACATACCTGTCAGCGTCAAAAATGTACATAGCCCGACGTTTTGACGATTTTATTTATTTATATTTTCCGTGCCTAATTTATCTTATATTTTTACAAAAATATTGTTCAATCAACAGCGAAAACCAACAGAATCATTTTTTTTTTTTTTTTCAATTATTTCATACAGAACTCGGGAAAAATGCAAGTAATACCAAACAATTGTCCGAGAACTCTCCAATTTTTCAATTCGATTTCTTAGTATGCAATATAATAGAGTGTAAGTTTCAGGTCGCTAAAATTACTGCTGATTTGAAAAAAAAAAAAATTTCGCTGCGGGTGTTCTATGGGAGAAAATGCAAAGTTGAAAATTCTGCCACCTTTTGTTTCTTCGCTAGAGTTTCACAAATATTGCAAAAAACGCGATTTTTTTACACTTTGACCTCGTTTTTCTCAACATCTGGACCAGATTGAAACTTTATATTCACGAATTCGTAATCAGCACAAAAAAGACTGTCAAAAAAGTAACAGTTAATGAACAATAAAAAATTTTGGAAAAAATATTTTGTTAAAATCAGTGGAGCATATAATTTCGGAGTTTCCAGCCTTCAGCAGGCAAAGATTCCTGTTGCAGGGCCTGCAGTCAGAAACCGTCAAAGGACCAAAGTGTCTACTGAAATTCGGTAAGGGAGCGGCGGTGTTCTTTAACAATGCGTGAAAGCACTGTTTTATGGATCGTAAACGTATCTGGAGAGGCAAAGGACGTTATATTCGTCTGTGTGAGAATTCTTAAGGTCTGCCAACATAACCTAACCGAATGTAAGGGTTCTTACGGGCATAATCCAAAAAACACTGTGCTATTCACCAAAGCTGCAGCGAAATCATATACCAATAAGCTCTGTCACTTCAGAAGTTATTGCATTGAAGAGGGGCATAAATCGAGACACCAAATTCTATATCAATACTTAGATTTTCAGTTGCATTTGGAGTATTGCTTCTACCACCAGCTTGCCGGAGACAACAGGAGATTCATGCTTTATTTTAGACCTCAACTAAAGACTTTTCAAGAAGAGATCTCACCATAATCGGTTCCACGTTACCAATCGGCCGACCAAGGACCATCACTCACCACAATCTGAAACACCAGCGCTTGGCATTCGCGAGCGCTGACCAAACTCAAAGCCATTGAAATAAAAATCCCATTAGCATTTGTTTATTTAATTATAATATTTTTTATTTAATTTCTACCAAATTTCTATGCATGTATAATTGTATACATTTATTATGTACATATGTATGTATGTAGGTACATAAACGAATCCGCAATAAACACTGTAATTAGTGTTGTTATTATTACCGCAGGTTTCCCTTCAAACTTTTTCTATTTCTTTTGTATACATTTGCTGTGCAGATTTTGTGGTATATTTTTTTTTTAGCAATTTTTATTAATTTCTGTGCTAATATACAAAAATACATAAATATGTATGTATGTAAAAGTTTTTGGTACTGTATGTATGTATATAGCCTTGAGTTAAGCATAAAACAAAAAAAATAAAACAAAAAACAAATAATATTTAATTAAATTTATATTTATATATATATATATTTCCAAAGAAAATTCTGTGTTTACAAATGTAATGTTACATCAATTGGCATTTCCTATTTAACATTTTCGCAGGAAACTCAACAAGTATCGCTACTTAACTATGTAAATAAGTACGTATAAATATGTATGTGTACGTATGCACATACATATACATATAATTTAAGAGTACTAAACGAAGGATTTTAATAGTTAATATAATTTTTCTTTAGGCTTTTCGTCTAGTAATTTTTAAGTATTTCGGTCTGTATTTTCTACTAGGAATAGTTTTTATGCCTAAAATTTTGGTTAAATGCCTGAGCTGTTTAGTAATTTTTTAACACTTCACGAACACAGGCGGCTCTTTTTCGGCTGTTTTGCCTATATCTATGTACAAATTCTGAATATCGATGGCTGCGTGGAAGGTCGACCTATCTCGGCAGCCAGTTCGAAAACGCTCTATCTCAAAAAACTTTTCAAGAACGCCCTATTTCAGAATTCGTTTCAAAAACGCCCTATCTCAGCTGCCGATTCAAAAAGGCCCCATATCAGCATATTTTCAATACATTTTGAAGTTAAATAGGGCGTTTTTGAACCGATTTTTGAGATAAGGTGTTTTTCAATTAAATTCTGAAATAGGGCGTTCTTGAAAAGTTTTTTGAGATAGAGCGTTTTCAAACTGGCTGCCGAGATAGGTCGATCTTCCACTCAGCCATCGATATGTACATACAACTATTGTATAAAAATATCAATTTTTACTACATTTATAGATCACATTTGCGAATCGACATGCTTTTATGTACTAGCTTTTTACTAATTTTGTTTTACACGATTTTTTTTAACACTTTTACTTTTACTTTTTACCTTACTTTTACTTTTGCTTGACAAGAGCCCGTATTTGGATATTACTAGCCAAATTTTTCTTTTATTTTTACAACTTACTATTTATCCTACTTGTATAGGTGGTTACATTTTTTTAGCATCATCGTCTTGTTTGCATTTGGAGTATAAGCTTAAACGGCCAAACAAAATTTTTTTGACGAAACTTTAAATAGTTTTCAAAAAATAAAAAAATTTAAAAAATTTAAGTTGTGAAAAATTTAAGTTTTGAAAAATTAAAGCTTTGACAAAAATTAGTTTTGAAAATATCAAGGTTTTGAAAAAAATTAAAAATTAAAAAAAAATAATAATTAAAATGTTTTGAAAAACATGTAAAAGTTTTGAGATACTAAAAAGAAGAATTATGTATTTTTCTCTTAAATTTTTTTATCAAAAAACATACATAATAAGAAAATATAATATTTTGTTATTTTCATGACTTGCTTAGGTAAATTATAGCAGAAAATACTAAAAAATTTATTTCGTAGCAGAAAACTTGCACTAAAAACACAAACAAATTTAAAAAAAAAAATATTTAAATCAAAAGAAAATTGAAAAATTCAAAAAAGTAAAATTACAAAAAAATAAATGTTAAATAAAATAAAAAATTCAACTGCAGCTTTTTATACATTCCAAATATGTAGTACCAAGCGTACAGAATTTATAAGGAATTGCAGCCATAGTATGCAAGTAAAATTTTAATATTGTTTCCATTTTTTAGTAACTCAGTGAAAATATACCAGAAAATACCTAAACATTTTTTTTTTAATGTTTCTGATTATGGTAAAGTTTTTAATGATCACAAATTTTTAGAAAACATATTTTTGTGCAAAAATTAAAAAAAAATATAAAGCTTCACATCAAAATATGTTAAATTAACTATTGAAAAATCATAACTTAAAAAATTCAGTCTCTAATTTTTTATCTTATATGTATGCGAGCGAATGGACCTGAAAGGGTTAATACATAAAATAAGAGCTACTCTCGCCCTAACAAAATTATGCGCAATTTTAAAAATTTTAAATTGTTTTCGATACTTTCACTTATGATTTAGCTATTTTCATAAAAAGTGTTTAGAAAGTACTATATTTTCAAACATTTGGTGTAGTAGTAAAAAATAAAAAATAAAATAAATAGAAATAAAAAAATTTAAATTAAAAAAACTATTTATATATGTAAATGAAAATAAATACACAAATGCAAAAATGAAACCTAATAACAAAATAAACAAAAACAAAATTTATTAAAATTTATTAAAATTTATTAAAATATATTAAAATATATTCAATGTGTCTGCCATAAATAGTAATCCTTTTCAACTTTAATTTTAGAACCCCAGAGGTGCATTTTTTTTTTTTTTTTTTTTTTTGTATTGGCCGTTTAAACCTAAAATATACCACATACATACATACAAACATACTTAGTAGCTACGTGCACATTTTTTTCTAAATCTACGCAACTAATTTACAGTGAAAACTTGTACATGGAATTAAAATTCGAAATTAGATAATGCATTATTTTCGACGCTCGAAAGTGAAACATTTTTTGTATGCTATAGTTGCCTACATTTGTATATTTTCTGAGTTGTTTTTCATTAAATCGTATAAGTGTTGTATATCAGTTGGCTCATTACGCGAATACGATTCACTTTCATCTCCCTCTCTCTCTCTCTTTCGTGTAATCTTATACAATAAATTCTTCTGTGCAGAGTTGATACTCGATTATGACTTATTGTCGATATGACCTGTATTGAATTGCTCGCCTCTACCAACATCCTCTTTTCACCTCTTCGTTTTCGTGATGATCACCTACTACATATATACATACACACATATGTACATACATATGCCGGCGTAATCATTGTTGTCTTATGCCGCCGCGTAGTAGTACTCCAGAACTGTTGCCCTTAGAGTTGCATTAGCCGCTACTCCGCTACTCAACGCTGTTTGCCGCAAGCAAGCAAACGCATTCAATAACTTAAACCAAATTTTTAATGCGCGCTTCTCGTATCCTTCCACGCGCCTACTACTTCCTAATTAGCCACCTCGAGTGCAGCTAGACTTTCTATCTCCGAATCGAAATTGCTGTCGCACGTCGATAGCCATTCGATGACACGCCTGCGCACCACTGTCTGATCGATGGAATTATCCAAGCCATAACTGGACATCATACGCTTCAACTTCAGCTTATTGTCATCGCCCGATAACCGTCCCTCGCGCTTATTCAAGTAGATGCACGAATCCTGATCGGGATTTGGTGAAATGAGCAAAGCTGATTTCGACGTCGCTATACGGCATTCGACCCAACGATCCTTCATGTATTTCGTGACCTCGGTTACTTTGCAACGATCCTCCGGATCTTGTGTTAAATACTTGCGGAAGCAACGCATTAGACGCGGCGAGAAACGTCGGAAGTTGTCGGGTATTTTTGTCGTCTTGCGCTGTTCGTACTTCATGAAGCTCGCATATTGTGTATCTTTCACCCAATCGGCCATGTTCCACGGCGGACTGCCCGTCAATATGTTGTACAACAAAATGCCAAATTGCCACGAATCGCTGGATGGCATGCAGATGAAGCGTTCATTTTTGACAATCTCATGCACCTCGGGCGGCACGCAACTAGTCCATGTGTGCTTCACCTTATGCACCAGCAGTCCCTTCTTCGTGGTCGTACCAAAATCGCACAGCTTGACGCGCGAGAAATCCGGCGCAAAGACCAACACATTCTCCAGCTTGAGATCGCGATGCACCAAATTCTTCGAATGCATGAAACCGAGCGCGGAACTTAGCTGCTCGCTAATGGTCTTGCAAGCGGACTCGTGCAAGCCATGCGGTCCGATATTGGCCGCCAAATCGCCATACGGCGCATGTTCCATAGCAAACACATAGTAGTCCTTGGTCTGGAAGGCCACATTGTAGGCGCTTAGTATGTTACGATGATGTGAGAGCTGATAGTTGAGATGAAACTCTTTTTGGAAATCCTTCAGTGTGGCCAATTCAGCATGCACCGCCTTCAGTACGACTGTCGTATTCGTGGGCCGATGATGAGTGAGTAGTATACGCGCAAAGCAGCCCTCCGCCAAAGTCTTTTCGATATCGTACTGATCGGAGAAAGCCATTAATGGTAATTCAATGTCCGGTACAATGTGTATGATGCCGCTATCATCCTTGTCCGGCTTCTTGTAGATGCTGCTGCGTCGACTTACCGACGCACTGGAATTGGGCACCTCCAGTTTGGCGCTGGTTACAGGTGACAACAACGAATTGTTGTTGGTGCAAGTGCTGCTATTGTTATTGCTATTCTTGCTGTGCGTGCTGCCGCCATCGCCGATCGAACGCCGCAATCGGAAGGAGAATGAGCGTTTCTCTGCAAGGGGAAAAAGAAGAAGAAAGAGGAGCAAATTAATATACGTAAATCAACGGAAAATTAGCGGAAATTTTTGCGCGAGAAAGGAAGGTTGCGAAAATCATTTATATTTCTAATATATATAAATAATGAAAATTTATACTAACACTAACTTACGTATACAATTTTTTATTCTCTATGAAAATTTTCCTAGCCGTTGTTTGAATATAATACATAAGTAAATATAATTTCGCACAACTGCGCAATATTTTTTAACGAAGATGACGGAGAACAAAATGATTTATGAAGTGCATAAAAAATATTCGGTGTAGACAAATTAATTGCGGCCAAAATATGATGATGGAGACATTTTAATGCACTTTGTAGGAGTCTACATAACAAAAAAAAATAATAATAAAGACGTTTACTATCAAATGAATACAAAAAAAAAATAATAAAAAAACTTCAAAAGATAGATACATTCAAAAAATTAAAAATTCAACATATAAAAAAAAACAAAATTTAAAAAATTAAACATACAATAAAGCAAAGGAAAATAAAAAATAAAATGGAAAATAGTATAAAATGAAATAAAACAAAATAAAAATATTAAATGATACAAACTAAATACAAAGAAAAAAAATTAAAAAAAAACTGCGTAAAATTATTTCACGACGATGTCGAAGAACTAAATGATTGATGAAGTGCATTAAAAGCGTGGACAAATTAATCGATAAGTTTTTATGAACATAGTAGGAGTGTACATGAAAAATATTTATTGGTAAAATAACGTAAATTGGAGAAAAATATTTATTTTTCAAATGAAATATAATAAAAATAAAAATTCAAAAATTAAAGGCACAAATTAAATAAAAAAAAAAAACAATAAATAAAAAATACAAATCTATACATTTATTTGCATATAAGAGATGTAGTAGACCAATGTCTGTACATTATAGATATTAAAGAAAGATTAATATAGAGGGTGGGTCTTTATTGGAGCCAGTTTTTTGAATTTTTGTCTGTTTGTCTGTATGTTTGTACGCGCATCACTCATTTTTTTGTTAGATGTCTGACTTAAAATATAGAAAAAAATTTGAGAGTGGCCACCTGTTTGTAAATTCCAGTTTAAGTAAATTGCTGAATTATGGCTGTCGAAAGAAGAAGGTTTAAGAAGGCTTACAGCGCAAAATATTTTTGTGGAAGGTGGCCAGATGTTTGAAAATTGTAATTTAATTGATAAGATAAATTAAATATTGGAATATGGGTATCAAACAAAAAAGGGTTTGGGAAAGTTTACTGCCGAAAATATTTTTGAGGAGGGTTGCCACCTGTTATTTAATGAATTTGATAAAATAAGTGAAATATTACAAATAATGTTGAATTATGGCTGTCAAAAGAAAGGGG